CTTAATAAATGCTTGACGACTTAATTTACTTTGTGTCAATGAGCAAGTCGTTTAATTTCTCAATGCCACAGGCTATTCCCTAAAACAATGAGTTAGAGAAAAAGCAATGATTTACATTACTGGCTATATTTTTCACACTGGGAGTGTGAAAGTAGGAGTATGGGAGTTCCCACAAAGAAGAAATTATAGGTCTGGAACACACTCCTCCCTCCAAAAAAAAAATCAATTGAATACTAGGTAAAAATAAATGGCCTGAACAAGAAAAATGGAAAGGTTGTCAACAAAAGACCCCTGACTAAAAATAGAACTTAAAAGGAGGCTGCTTTTTCAGACTGTGTTTTTTCAATTTCTTTGAATGGAACCCATTCATATCTATCTCTCTTATGTCCTATACCTTTTCTCAGTATAGAGAAGGAAGCTGTGCTGGGTGAAAAAGGAGAAAGGAAGGTAGGAATTGACAGGAAACCTGACAGACATGGAATGCACACATTATGTGTACATATATGTTTATCCACATATATATGTATGTATGTATGTATGTATGTGTATGTGTGTATATATATTATATATATATATATATATATATATATATGGAGGGTAACATATAGGGCAAACAATATACACACCTATGTGGGCCTCTTATACTCTTTATGTAGTTTGCTATGAATGTGTGTGAGTATAAATATATATAGATATACACATATATATGTGTGTGCATATATATGTGTACACACATATATGTGTACATATGTATATACATACATTGCATGTGTTTATGTGGATGAACACATATACATGTATATACATATACATACACGCAAATATCTTAGGGATGGCAAGAGAAATAAACGTGTTCCAGTTATCCTGGAATTGAATGGGATACAAATAGACAGTTATTTCAATTTCCCTTTATGCTAGGATCTCTTTACAAAGCAAACAAGGGTGTGTTAGGTCCTAGGATTCTAAAATTTAGAGTTGTAAAGGAACAAGGAAATTGAGGCCCAAAGACGTTAAGTCACCTGCCCAAGGTCACATGCAGGAGCAAAGGTTGGATTCCAAATAAGATCCTCTGACTCAAAATCCAGTCCTCTAAATTTATACTCTTATTAATTTTGACTTCCATTCTCCCAGTACGTTTTTCCTCTATACAACCTAGTTTATTTGTTCTTTCAAATATTAGAATTCTGAAGTAGTAATAATGAAGTGTCATGGGAAAGTTTTGTTGTATTGGTCTTATTCATCTTTAAAAAGATAATATTCTCTATAATGTAGGCATGAGTATTAAAATTAGAAAAAGCACTTCTGTATCAGTCTTTCATTTCACATGTCAATTTTGAGTACTAAATTAACTAATTTCATTTGTTCATCTTTTTAGCCAAACTCCCTTTTTCTATAAATGATTTTGGTATAAGAGATACCTGAATAACATGAGTAGAACATTAGAAAGAAGAAAAGACCTTATGTCATTGAGTTACACAGCTTTAGTTATTTCATGTAAAGAAAAAAAATTTGGGTTCCAAAATATACATGCCAGACTGAAACTCTAAATTATGAGTTAAAGACAATTTGAAAACTATATAAACACATGAGCTTATTAATAATGCCTTTGTAGAATGATTCTGACACAAACGAGTTTTTTTTTTAATTCTCAGGTTCATTATAACAAATAATGAAAACTGTTATTAGGTCAACATTTTAAAAAGTAATCCTAGTAAAAAATCTTATCTCAGAACAGGTATCATATTCCCTCAGGAGAATATTTGGTATCTTTGGTTAAAAAAAAAAAAGACTTTGGTACCCAAAAAACAAAATTCACATTCCATTGTTGGTTTGGTTTTGAATTTGCATAAGATTTGCAAAAATAAAAAAAGGAAATTACACCTTCTAAATGTAAATGTTTCATTAAAACAGACCTACCTCTGAAATGTATTATTATTGACCCTTGTCATGATAACATAGATGTCCCTAAGTCATTGTACACTTTGTGGACTGTATGTGAAATAGCTATTTAATTGAATACAAAGACCATCAATGCTTGCTAAAAGTAGAAAGCTATATAAAACTGATTATTTAATCTATGTATTGTTCATTATCTTGACTTGTAATTCTGAAGAAGATAAAATATATCAAGGTAAAATGAAAAGATTGATGGCTTGAGGTTTCAGTTTTCTAAAAATTATGTATTACATTATTATTCTGTGAAGATAATTTGGTGAAAAATTAAGCCATAAATGATGATAGAAAACAAAAATAAGAAGATATGGATTCACCTCTAGTTGGAATAGAATTAACTCATTACCCTATAAATGTCTTTATTGTTAAGTATTAGAAATACATTTTGAACATGATTTAACTTTTCAAGTCATTCTGACTTTCCCCTCTCCTTAGGTATCTTCTTTCTGTAGCAACTAATGAAGTCTCCTCTCAGACTGGTGTGAAAAACATGGGACATAACCTTTTAACAAATCACTTACAAAACACAATAGCTCATAAGTATATTATGAGTGTCTTTTTGTTCAGTTTTTACTCTGATTCAGATAACCTAAAAAGATTAAAGGAGGCTTAAGGCCTAAATTTAGAGAATAGATACTGTAGTTGTTCATTGATCCAAAGTAAGTTTTTGCCCCAAAACTGTTAAGTTCAATTATTCAATTCTTTTATCATAATACTTGTCTGAACACCACCATTGCTGTTTTCATGGAAGCATTCCCTGCCCATTTTTTCCAGCTCTTTATGCAGAAAGAACAGAAATTGTCAGTCTTGTAGCCATGGACTAACTGAATTATTCATTTACTAAAAAAGTTAAGTCAAACTAGTATACTTCCTCTAATCCTAGAACTACCTTGATTAATGCCTCTTTATCATGACCAGCAAATTCTTTGTAAATCATGCTTACTGTATATGGATGAACTTTTTCTTATCAACTGCCTTTCAAGATGACTAGCATGAAGAAAGTAGACTTGTGACTTTTCATTATCTTTAGGAGTGGATTAAAGTATGGCAATTTGGAAGTATTGATGAATATGGACTTCTGGTTTTTATTTAGGAATTCTCACACTTTTTTTTGCTTTTTAATGCTTAATTGTCTTATGAAGAGAGATTCTACCAATGCATTTTGTGTGCCTGTGTGTGTGTGTGTGTGTGTGTGTGTGTGTGTGTGTGTGTGGTAGCTTCTTTTCTAAGGGACACTAATTAGTTTTAAATGGTGTTAAATACCATCCCTGCAGTTGCAAGTGCTTCTCTGGGAATTTTACCAGAGAAAAGAACTCCTGTAATTTAAAATCACTATGTTTTCTTCATTCACGGTTATTAGTGAAACAGCGACCTGTAGAACTCTTAAAGTCTCCCCTGCACACACACACTTCACACTGTCCATTAGTCTGGATGGCTACCAAGCACATCTCCTTCACCAGCTCCATCTCCCTTCAGCAATTCCCATCCCCCAAAGTGCCGCTAGCAGAGGAATAGCTTGAAGCAAGTTCAGCTTTTCCTCTCACAAAGCCTTGGCTGGCCTTAAAGGAAATTCTCTTAACAACGTGTCAATTTTATATTGGCCACAAAGACAACTTCTGTTTGGGGGGAGGGGAGGAAAGAGGGACTGGAGCTTGGCTGTCCCTTTCCACAGACAAGGATCTTTGTGGAAATCAGAAAACATTTCCTGAATAAAAAATCAACACACTCTCTCCCCTTGCATGGTGGGGGAGCAGGCACAAACATATAACATCATTCCCCTCACAGAGATGAAATGCATCCAGTAACTTCCCAATTGGGAAATCTATTTTCTTCTCTTCTGTCCTTGTGATCCCCTCTCCCCCCACCCTCCAAATCACTTGTAAAACATCCACAGCTTCAAAATCTCTATATAGTGCCCCTGGTAGGAATTGGATGAATGCTGTAAATCACTTCAGTACTTTATCTTCTCTCCCTGTATTTCCCTTATCCTCTGCCTTTCCAAATAGCCCATCTCTGACACTCTCCCTCTTTCTTTGTGCTGATCAACAGGGGATCAGAAGCGAGGGCAGAAATCCTTTGCAGGAGACCTAATAAGAGTCTGCTAGTTCACATACCATAACAATAACCCTTCTAACTAAAGGTCCAGTGGGGGAGCTAGGACAATTAATTTGCAAGTGTGGTTTAGTTGAGCCTCTTCCTTCCCACCCATCCCTCTGCTCCTAATAGCATGTGACTTCACAGCCATTGCGACACAGTGAGCTTGTGCTTCCAGTTGAGTCCCAAGTGGGTCTCTCCTTAAGGACCAGAGAGTATGTGGGGTTTATGATGCAAAGCATCTCAAATAAAATCATAGATCTATGTCATTGCTTCTCCTGCCTTGATTTTCAAGATTGACAGAGAATTCACTATTAAATTTGTATCTTTTTAGTTATTTTGTCTTATCTTTGTAACTTTTTTTTCTGTTTTTTCTTTGGGGGGGATGTTGGGGAGAAAGAGAACCTGAACATGAAAAAGAACAGGATCAGATTTTTTTACTGCAGATATATTTCAAGGGATTCTTCATCTTCCTTCATTCCTTGCTTCCTCTCTCCACCTACCTCGTGTTACCAGGCCAAGATTATCATTTGGCTTCCAACCTGTGACTATCTCATGGCCAAACTGCAAACTCAAGGAAGGGCTTAGAACTGATACCTGCTCTCCTCTACGTTCACAGACAAGAACAGATACATCTGGAAGAGCTTGTCAAGCTTAGGGCACCTCTCACTCATTTCAGTCCCCAAGTGCCTTCAAAAGTCTCTGTGGGTAGTTTCATTCTAATCAAATTTGTTCACACTCCCACCTCCATGTTTCCCAGATCTCAAATCAATGAAGAACTTTTTTTTGGTGCTAGACTCACATCAGCTGAATCCAATCAAATACAGCAGAAATACAAGAGGGAGTAAGATGACCTAGGCTAGACATAAAAAAAATATTTTTTAAGTTTTCTAAGCATCTGCCTTCTCACTCCATCCCCCTGAGCCCTCAAACCCTGTTTCCTCTGTACTTACCTTCTTTTGGTGGGCGCTTCGCTTCCCTGGTAAGATTGCAGACCTGGGTAGTTTGCAGCTCCTGGGTTAGGCAGCCCTCCGTCTGCTCATTGAGGGGAAGCACCACATTATTTAACAACATCAGGGACTGGTCATCTATTCCCCATTCCCCCAAATGCTGAGGACAGGTGCATTTTGTGTACATGATCCCACAGGACTCCGTTCTCCCGTTTTCAGATTTTATGCAGCTCTCCAGCCAAGTGCATAATACATGGCAACCAAACTGGCTTGGGCTCACCTTGTTCAAAACCAAAAATTCAAAAAAAGATTTTTCATCTTCATCCACTTTTTTCTGTAATCCTGGAAATTCGATTGGATATACCCGACGTATTTGAATAAAATTTTTATCATACTGTAGAAATACAAAAGCATTCTTGGAATCGCAGAGTTGCATTATAGAATGGTTATTTTTTAAAAGATCCTTTATTTTTTCATGGGAAAAATGATCAAACTGATAAGCCAAGAGAGAAAAGTTAGAGCAGCTGAAGTCCTTTTTGGAAAATTTCAGGTAAATACTATATTTGGTTGGATCTGGGTTTTCCAGCGTCCAAGTGCAGTTTGTAAAGTTTTTTGGAAACATTTCACTTACGGAATACGATCCATAAATGACTCCCTTCACCAACGTGGAACACCAGAAGTCTTGGGCAGCATTAAATCCAAACATAACCAGGAAATAGGTGGAAAATATATAAATCAGCAGATTACGAACAGCCTTCATCCTATGTCATTTGGCCTGTAAAAATGGGGATGAAATTACAATGCAAAGGTAATTCTTCACGCATTGAAAAAGAAACTCCTTCCAATATCGTGGCCAGCTGTTTTCAAGATTTCAGTTAAAACCCTTTACAAAAAGAAGGGCAGGTAATTTTTATTTTATAACGCAAGGAAATTGTTCGATGCTGTGTGAACAACGCCACCACGTGGCCATTCACAATGGTCCAATTCCCTAAATTCGAATTAAAAATAAGATTTAATAGATCATTAATAGAAATGTCCTTACTTATCGAGCAGCTAACCCTGTCAGTAAATTATAAAACTACAAAATTAAAATAAATCCTATAGATTTCACGAAGTGTCACTAAAGGTCAATTTTAAGACATTTCAAAAATCAATTTACATTGTTCCCTCCCCCCTACTCCAAACTGTGCATGGAAATATATCATCTCACACAATCTAATCTGAAAATTTAGGAACAGATGTTATTAAATTATCTCCTTAATATTAAATGTGCAAAGTTATTGTGATGAGTTACAGCCAAAATTTTAAAATGCACAAATTATTATTTGTTGCAGATGGAACATTATCTCCCATATGTCTACATGCCTTTGCAGGACCACCTGGTATACAAAGGTCTCTGTAATGATAAATTCCTGTGAAACAAAATAAGTAGTAATGTATATTATTAAAATTTTGTAAATATTATCTGGGAAAGGCATTGATAGGTAGATACACAGAGGGAAATTATTTGACATGCCACTGAAAACCAGAATTTAAAGACATTTATTTCAATGTGACATTCCCTCTTGGGATACATAAAGTGGATCACTGTATTAGTATCTACAGCTAAAGCCAGTGTCAATGAAAAATCCCAGAACCACAGTAATGAACTGGATTCAGGATTTTAATTGCTTTTTAAAATTAGTACTTTTATCTAGACTTATCTACTATAATTTGAAGATTTGCACATGACAGATGAAAGACATTTTAGATTTTCTGTCTTAGCACATTGCAGGTATTGAATGGATCCCTTCCCAGTAATGGCCTCAAACCCCTCCTGTTTTGTTGTTGTTGTTGTTTTACGTTGACTTTTCATGATATAACAACCTTGGTTATATTTACCTCTGTATGTTGTTATCCAAAAATAACTTGAATGTTTTCAGCTTTAACCTTTAAGAAGTTTTTGCTTTTTTTTCTTTAAAAAATGACTGACACTTCGCTTTCCAGTTAGTGTCTGGGCTGAGAAAAGTGATGCCAAGTTAATTTTAAAAGTCTTTGGACTGCAGCCCCTTCCGCTGTTCTGTAAACAGAAACAGACAGACACAGAGGCAGTTAGTTTTGAATCTTGGCTTTACCTAGGTTCTTCTCTCCCAACCCAAGGAAAAAAAAAAAGAAGCTTCTTCCTTCCCATTGCATAACACACACCAACGTATACACACACACACACACACACACACACACACACACACACACACACACACACAGGCATCGACACATTTAAGTCCCTGAAGAGATCGCTGAGCTTTCCAGATTATAATTTAAACTCTTAGTCTTGACATGGGTAATACAGCACCAACTCTAAACCTCTTTATAGCTGCAGTTTAAAATAACACCAGAACTGCCAGAGCTATCAAAAACACTGACTCCTTGTTTCCTCCCAAACATATAGTCCAGTGAATAATACATTTTTTTCTTGATGAAGTGAAGTTACAGAACATCTAGACGTTTAAAAAAGGAAGAAAGTTAATGGAAATTCTGAGACTAATCCCCTTCTCTCCATGTAGCACTTTGCAGGCAATGCAGGTCTGCGCAGTATTCTACAGGATAGAGTGTAGGCGTTGAAAGCCAATGTGACAATAAGTGTCTAAATTAGGAATTCCAACCATGAAAAACGATTCATTTTATAATCTGCAACTCAAAAAGAGGTCTTCTTTCTCTTCCAAATGAAACCCCCGGACTTTTTCTTCCACATAGTATGCCAGAGTCCATGTCTGCAGTGCTTTGCTCATCTTGAATTAGAAAACCTGGCAAAACATCCCTGATTTCACTTCAGCGTTTGCTCAGGCGAGGTCCCTGAAAAGACTGTTCTTGATTTTTAAAAGCCTCAGTACACAAAATCTCATTTTGTCCTTAATGCCAGTAAAAGAATAACTGAGATGGCCTCTAGGAAGGACTGCAGGGTCAATTAAAACACCTGCTTCTCCTCTTTGAGAAATAACGAAGGAAAGTGTGTGTGGGGGGGACTGGTCAGAGAATCTTAAGATTAGGTCATTTATTTATTTAGTTAGTGACCTCCTTCTTAAAAGCAAACGGGCAGTTAGTTGAGCTATGTAAAACTGATTTTCTAGGTGACACTGTAGTTTTGTTGAACATAGACGGCGCCATCACTCCACTCATTTTTTCCCCACTATAAGACCCACTGACTTCCCTTATCTTAACGTCCTATTAACCTAAAATTCCCCCCTTCATAAAATTACCCCAATCACACACAAACGTCAGATTTTCTGTCTCTCTGGAAATGACTCCCAATGAAGCAGATCTCTCGCAAAACACACTTCTCTTAACTTTTCAACTGCGGCGTATGAGTAAATGCAGAGAATTTTTTTTGGGGGGGAGGGGGTGGATGATTAGGTGAGGGGGGCTGTTTTTGTTTGTTTTCCCCTCACCCCCAGCCTCTCAACCCGCCAGTAAAAGCCTCTCCTTTCGCTCCCTCCCAATATCCCAGGCTCCAAAGTCTGTAGCAATAATCCCTGGTAATGGGCATGGAGAATGAATACCCCAGACCCCCTTACCTTCCACTCCGAAAGCTGAGGGAGGCTATTTCTCTAAGAGCCTAGCACAGGCACACGTCCCAACAACAGTGATGGAGAGACTCCCCTTCTGGCCGAATCACCGTTGCCCATTTTCCCCGGCTTAGGCTCCAAAACCAAGATTTAAAAAAACGAAAGAAAGAAAGAAAGAAAAGAAAAGAAAGAAAGAAAAGCACATTCACAAGAAGGAAAGGGGCAAAAAAAAAAAAAAAAAAAAGGAGGGGGAAAGAGAGGATACCCCCAGCGAGCCCAGAGGTTGGCTCCGAGTCCAACTCAATCCAACCTCCCAAACGGAGAACGGAGGGGGTGGGAAAGCCCAAGTCGAGAGACCGCAAGGGGAAAAAAAATGGAACTGTCTTAAGAGCGACGATTTGTTTGACCAAATCTAACCCAACAGCCCGAGTAGCCAAAATGCCAAGGAAACGCCGAGGCGAGAACTCTAAGCGCTGGAGCTGCTGCTTAGGCGGGTTTGTTGGGTTGGTGTGGTTTTATTGGTATAAGATTAACAGGCTTATTCTTGTTCCTCTTTTCTCCCTCCTCCTTTTCCTCCTCCCCCCTCAGGTACTGATGGACGGACAGCGACTAGGAAAAAAAAATCCTTGGCTGATGATGTCGGAAAGCTGTTTGAATGCCGAGTGAGGAGGGAGTCGAGAGAGGGAGAGGGAGAGAGATAGTAAAGCTCTGTCTGTGTGTGCGCGCGCGCTCGAGCTCTCCTTTCCCTCTCCTGTGTGTATGAGTGTGTGTGTGTGTGTGTGTGTGTGTGTGTGTGAGTGCGTGCGTGTGTGCGCGCGTGTATGTGTGTGCTCGCGCGCGCGCACGTGGACGCCCGCTTTCCTCCAGTGTCTCAGGGTGCGCGCGCGCGTCCGAGTGTGCTGCGCTCTCCTCTGTAGCATGGGTGCGCTTGCTGCTCTCCCCGAGCTCGCTGTGCGCTTCCACAGGCGCTGCGCTCTCCCTCTTTAGTGCTGTCTGTGGTGTTTGTGGTTGGGTGCCTGTGTGGTCTGTGTGTGTGTGTGTGTGTGTGTGTGTGTGTGTGTGAGACACACACACAGAGAGAGAGAGAGAGAGAGAGAGAGGAGATGGAGAGATGAAATGGGGAGGCGGGAGTGGGGCGCGAAGTGGGGGCGGTAGAGAAGTGGAAGGCGGGAAAGGAGAGAGAGGGAGACAGCCAGAGGGACTCCAGTGTGCTCCAACCGGGCCTGCACGTCACGGATACTCAAAACTGAGCACGTCCGTCCTGCAAACGTTAGTTTCTGCGTCTGGGAGGTTTTTCCAGCCTCAGTTCCCACCGAGAGGGACTGGTTGCGACCGACTGTAAGAGAAACTCGGAGATTGGGATTGAAAGAAGGGGGCGGGAAAGGGGGATGGGGGTACGGGTAGTGGGAGGAGAAAAAGAGGAAGGTAGGGGGAAGAAGTGAATCGAGCACTTGATCTTCTCCCTCTCTCTTAGAAAAAACCTGTCGCAGCCCCAAGAGCTGTCAATCGAGCCCTGTGATACAGATTAATTGATACAGTACTCTGAGGAGAGTAAGCATCATAGCTTCCAAACTGCTGCCTGTCCCTGACTGGAACAATAGCAATTTTCTCAGTGAGACTGCAATTAACATCTTATTTGTCCTGGCTAGATAATGGGTTTGTTCTGATCACAGCTTGGGCTCCCCAGCCTTGGACATCTTGCATTGCTCACTGCATGGCAATGGGATCATGGCTATGGGCTCGGAACTTTATATATATATATATAGTCTTATTCTTTTTCAAGTTACCCTAGTAACGGGTCTGGGGTGGGGAAGGAAGTGGGAGGAAGAGGAGGAGAGAGTATGGTAAATGCATCAAATGTCTGGATTATTCGGGGTGGGTGGGGGAGGTATTTCCGTTGTTTTTTGCCTCCAGTTCAGCCTGCTTGCCGAAATATTTGATGGAATAACTCTAAATAGACGCTGCAAAAGGCTATTAGTCTCTTGGTTGTTTTTCTGCCTCCAAACTCAGTTTGTAGTTTCCAAAACAAACGCTAGAATATCTTAACGATGGAGTTGGGAGGAAATTAAAAAAAAAAAGTAATGGAATCATCAGTAGAAGAAAATTGTGTCTTAGCTTCAGGTGGAGTTAAATAAAACAATTTTCATTCATTTCCTCTTTTCTGATTTTTCCCCCCTTTTCTTTTCTCCCTTGGTTGTCTCTCTTCCTTGTGCGGACT